TGCTTTAGCCAAGCGGCCGATCGGTGCCGTTGCCACGTCGACGTCGGTCGGCAACTCGCGCGCTGAAAGGATGCCGGTATAGAGTCTAATCTGCATTTTAAACGAGCCGTACCGCGAAGAGGGAATCGGCTTGTGCACGCCTGTGTTCATGGCGCGTTTACTGGCCAGACCCGTCGCGTTCTATGCACCGCCCGCATGCATACATCCCGTTGCCGCATCCGTGGCACGTCTTGCAAGTTGCCAGATCGCATCTCTGCGGTATTCACCTTGGTTTCCTTTCCGTGGTACCGAAAGTTCTACATTGAAGCATGGTAACATATTAGGTGTTGGAATTAATTCGTAGCGTTTTTAATGAAAGAATGTTATTTATTTCACATGAGCATTAAAAAATACATTAATGAAAGTACTTCCCATCACTTGTAAAACGCTACGAATTAATTCCAACACCTAATACATATTCAACGACAACGCTATATTAATACGAGAAGAATTAGCAATTTTTTGTTATTCTGTTGAATCGATCAGTCTTGTTGATCGCTATTATTGACTTAAATTCACATTTATATACTCTCTAAATCTAAATCAGTGGATAATCACTGATATCAGTATCAAGTATGCCATTCATAATCAGTGAATTAAATATGAGATCCCTAACCTAGTTAATTTTTATTATGTGATCTAACTAATCTTGTTTTAGTGCTTAAATTCAATGAATATGATATTGGAAGATTGAAATTAATATGTAAATATCAGTATTTTAGTTATATAATGCTCAAACATTTTTCCTTTTCTAGTTGAACTTCACTGATTATCAGTGCCAAATATGCCACTGGGTAATTAGTGATTATTCACTGATTTAGATTTAAAGAGTAGACCACGAAAAGTTTTTATTAGCAAAGACGCATTGAATTTATAGCTTTGATCTCATCTTGAAAAATTCATGAAGCATTGTGTTTAAGCACCGTGTTAGGAATAGTAATATAGGAGATGAATAAATATTAGCACGAAGTAATTTAAATATATCGGTTAAAATAATACAGGATATTTTTAAGACTATAAGTGGACTTATCATTTGATTACATCAAACATTATAATAGATCTAATAAAATCTGTTCGCATTTTTTATATTTGACGATTTATTCTTTCCACTTTAGATTTTATTATCACACGAAATGTCCGTATAAATTTTCTTCATCCAATTAGCCACGCGATCAACACTTTGAGAAATTTATCCAATAAAAATAAATTCAGGCGAATTTACGCAAATTACAATTAGCACCGTTGGTAACCTGATACATATACCGCCGTAAATCCGCGCTGGCTCTCTCTTTCCTCTCAACCTCCGTGCTCGACCGTTATATTTTTTCGCGCCGAAGACGATCGCGGTTAAGACTTCTCCATTCGGATCGAGAGACGCGCTCGGGAGCGCAGAGTGAAAGACATCCGACTCGGAGAAGTAACGATGTCATGCCGATTAATTTGATCGCAACATACACAGCGTGTTTACCACGGGCGGTCGGCGGGGCGCGTGCGCATTTTTTTTTAACAGAGTCCGAGAAACAGGTCCACGAAATCGTTTCTCTCCTTCGCTCTCTCCCTATCTCTATCTTCCTCTTTTTCTCTTCTTTGCTTCCTCACTTCCTCGCGGCAGCCAGATCGCAATCAGTCTTGCCGGACTTTCATCAGATCGGACCGCTATAAAATGTGTTTCGATGTATCCGCTCCGATACTTCCGCGCGTGCTACTCCAACTCGCATGCGTGTATCTTCACTCGTGTGAGTCACGTAGATGCAAGCTCGTCAATGCATCGACCGCTGTGTGGTGCAGCAGCCGATTAATGAGCTCTCGTCGCGTGCACGCGTCTGTCACTTTGACAGCATCCGGCACGGCAGTCAGCGCGTCTCCTATGAGTCTCCCTTCGCTTTTATCTTTCTCGTTTAATCGTCTATTACGGATTTTTTTCTTAGATCGAATGGATATAGCTTTAGGGAGAACGTGTATTTATGCGCTGCTCTCGCCGCACGACCGCATTAGCCGGTTAGGATGGTGCCGATCGTAAAACGGTGAATGATTGATTTGAAAACTTGCCGAGTCACTTTTATCAAATCGAAAAGAAGATAGATCGTTTCTATTTGTGATATATAGCGAATTCGGGCACTTGCACACGCAAGATTAGTGCATACTTAAAACCTTACTTGAAATCAACCTATATTTGAAATTAGCTAAATTAAATGTAAGGATATTTAAATATTTTTAAATAATCAATTATATTTAATACTAGTGTCACGTATTGTTTAACAGAATAGAAATGTATTTTTTCCTTGTCAAAATTGATTAAATTATATCACTGCATTTAGATATTTTATTTGGCAGCCTTTAATGTGCACTAATCCAGTGTAGTTCAGGTCATCGAATTCACGACTACAAGTTAAGTGTAAAAATATTTAAAACATTGTTTTATTATATATGTGTATAAGTGATTAATTAAAACATTAAAATAAAATATTAAAAATTAAAGTATTTTTCCATTTTTTTGAGTAAAATTTTCAAAATTTATTTCTCGCTTTACTTTCATACAAAGATAATAAATGATCTTTTTTTCTTCAAATTATTTATGTCCTTTTTTATAAGAATAGAAAGTTTATGATTTGTATCTCTTCTTCAGCTTCTACAGCTTGCCGGCATTAAGAAAGTAAGCGATTCCAATTTGTTGAAATGCTTCTCAACGCACCTTTCAAACTAGTCTCGATTCGTACCAATGCGATCATACTAGTCGCGCGTAACGGAGCGCGCGATCGCGGCGCGAAAAATCACCGATAACGTTAAAATTATTACGCGGCGATGTGGCGCGAGGGCGACTGATAAATTCTCCTCGCCATGCGTCTGAGAAACGAGCGAGTATCGAGAGCGATGAAATTTAACGCACCAGCGTTCGCACTTAGCGGCCTAATGCGAATTCCGCGGCGATAAGGTCTGATTTACGCCGGCTCTCGCTAGACCGTTGTCCTGTCGGAACCTTCCGTTTTGCCGCCGATCATTGAAAACATTCACACAGGGTTTCCGCGTGTGGCGTAGGTAAACCGTGCTGCACGTAAATCGAGGGAGGGAGGGAGGCAGTACATACATCGGTAAATCACGCAGTGAAAGCCGCTTAGTTTCGGCGCCAGATACATTCTCTCATACGGTGTTTATATCGCTAATGAGACACTTGGTTGACAGGCAAGAGGGCCTCTGGTTTCCTTATCGCGCATCATAAACGTCCGTCTTGGCGTCATGGTCAAACAACATGGCCTCTGCATTCTCTCTCGTAGTCACCTTCACACTGATTAGTGCGACGGCGATTACGAGAGAGACTTAGACCGTTGACAATGTGGTATTGGACTCTTGATGAAATTTTGTGATACTGCGCTTTCCCTTTGCTGCATAGTTTCCATCTTAATTTAAAAAAATTTTTTTGAAGATATGAACAGTGAAAATTGATGAGAAAGCGAACGCGTGAAACTTGAAATTTTTTATTCGTATATGTACTTTCAAGAGCTCGAATATAACACGATATATTGGTACCATTGCCGAACATTCATTTCAAAAATGTATTTTTAAGAAGAAATATAGTGAGCGGAGTTACAGCTTTGTTTTTTGTAGTGGTTCCATTTGCATCATAAACAATGCAGGTATTATCTGTAATAAATAAATCAATCGCAAAAGAAATATTAAACTTAGAAAAGCGAAGCGAATATCTAATAAAAACGTCATTTTTACATTGTGCCAATGTTGATATTTCTCTTTGCCGTGAGTTAATTAGTTTTGCGTCAACGAACTGATGAATCGTCGTCGAATGGTTTCCCGATCGACCAACTCTATTTGATAAAGTTCCATTTCCCCATGAAATGCAGTCGTGCGTGTGTCTCAGTCTCGATAATGAAAATCGTGGATGACCGAATGAGTGCGTTTCATTTGCTTTTAATTACGAACCCGAAGCACGTTGTGTGCATTCAGTTTTGCCGCCCTTTATTTGCGCTATCCTACCGTCTAATTGCTTACACGACGAGTCACGTAGTCGCCGGTCGACATATGTATGTAGGTGTTATTGCAAGGTGCACTCGAGAGAGAGAGAGTCTCGCACCTTCGGCGATCTCTTCTCCTTCAAAGATGAGGAGATATGAGTCGTAAGATTCAATATTAAATTAAATACGACGGTGTGCCTAGAAATGAACATCGCGATAGTGCTGACAATTAGCGTGTGCTATTTGATAGCATTATTTTTCAGTTTTTTACAGTATAATACGTTATTATACTGTGTTATCGATGGAATTATTTATTTTTCAATTCTTTACATTATTATAATCTGAAAGAATTGTTCACTAATTGATTTTTATTCGTGAGCACAATTGTTACATAATTAGTTATTTTTATTTAGAATTATGCTATTTATTACATGACTTAATCATTATTAATGCAATTAACGTCAAACTTTCTAGTGTTGATGTTGTAATATTCTGGCATGTGCACAAATACTTCAAGATGCAATCTTCAACATTAACACATTCCGCGCAGAATACTTTGCCACTTTCTTTGCTTTGTGTGCGAAATGTTTTGACTCCGATTAAATTCCTGCTCATCAACGTATGCTTTTCAACAGAGAAAGGACAGTTACTGACTGATTACACATCATTTTAATTCTGAATATATCCTGTAATCAACGCAATTAACATACCGCTTTCCAACGTCTTAATTCCTCCCACGCTTTCATATACAATCTGCCTACAAAAATATAGCTTAATTCATAGCTTTCGATTAATAGCTACAATTTTATCCTTAATTTTCTATTTTTATTAGGTATTTGAAAACGTCAATTTCTCTTCAGCGGAATATTCGGAAAACGACGTGTGCGGAAGAGTTTAGCTTTATCGGAACATGATGAAAATTACGATGTTTAACGCGAAAGTATCCACGTGATGATCAGACGCGAGATATGACATGATCCATTTGTCTGATTGCAGGGAAACGAGGCGGTGGTGCCTGAAGGCTGGCCTCTGACGTTAGGCGGCAACGGCCTGATCCTGCAGCTGGGTGAGCTCGAGGCGTCTGCATTGCGTCTTGGGGAATGTTACCTTTGCGTACGCAGCGCGGCTGTTGCAACTGCAACTGCAACTGCAACCACCTCGTCGGTCAGCGGCGCCACGACCGCCGGTGAAGCCGTCGAGCAAAATACCGTTGAGGTGAGTCATGTTCCTTTTCATTTTTTCCTCTCTTTTCTTGTATCCTCCCTCCCTCCCCCTTCCTTCCCACCACCCCCCTCTCTCGTTGTCACAAGGAAGCCGCGCCAGTGATGTTCTCCATATACCGCCGCGAGAGAATGACACCTCCAACCGTCGAAAAGACTCGGCCGGAATTCTCAGCGTTCTTCTCGTGTGATCCTCGACGGGATCCTCGACATAAATATTAACAGTCATCGGATGCAGGCGCGTAATGGCACGCGCATTATTAGATGCGCGCTTAAGCTCCTCTCCAGGCAATAAAGGACGTATATCTGAGAATGCCGACGCGGCATTGTCACGCGTATAACGCTTATAACGTTTTCCCATATTCTTAGAAATATGCCAAGCTAGCTGATTTATCATGACAATGAGTTACGCAGACCGGCTGAATTCAATATGCTTTTATAAATATTTGATAATAAATATTACAATAATATGATAAATTCTCCTGTAATAAATTTAATATTAAAATCCGTGAAAAGTTTCCTTTCATAATTTTATAATACTTTTGACTTAATTTTTCATAATAAGAGTTTAGATTAAAATATTGTTTGAATAAAATTCACTTGAAATTAAGTAAAGAATTAGATTCTTTTATTTATTAACAACTTCTTTGAAATTTAATTGGCAATAGGTATTATTACTACTTCATATTTTTCTCATGGAAGAATTGATTTAAAAATGTAAATGTCGTTAATATTAAAATCGGAAATTTCTTGGCGTAATATTCTCGTAATATTTTTAACATGGACGCAAATAGACAATGAAAGTAAGAGAGAGTTAAAACGAAAAAACTGTTGCTGTTTGCAGATAGCAGTAGTCTGGCGAACTACGTCGATGAGGGCCCCGGGGATTTTGGGTTGGGACCGTGAAGACGAGTTTATGGACTGGCGGGACCTGACAAACAAGGGTCAGCCAAGCTCGTCGAATACGGCGAGCGCAAATCTCAGCGGAGCGCAGCCCTCGAGCGTGATGAAAACCACCGGTCGTCTGCGGCGAAGATCGCGCGAGGACGCGCGTCCGAGGACACGCGAGATTAACAGAACTAACAGCGCTGAACATCGTCGGGAGGAGGCCAGGTCGATCGACAGGCTGGAACACCAATTCTGTCGTGAGAATCACACGATCGGCGAGTCCGGTCATACTGCCACAGTGATGAAGTCCAGGTCCGCGTCCAGTGTCAATACTTGGAAGGACGACCTCAACGGCGACGAGGACGAACTAGATCGAAGCACGAGTTGCAGAGCGTGTTCCAAGAATTCCTCTAGTCCCATCGGCGGCGACGAGAGTCGCGCCAAAGTGAAGCGATGCACCAAGGTGGTCTCCCCCACAACAATGGAAAAATGGAAGGAGAGCAGTAGGTGCGAAATACGTAGCAGGTCTATCGCATCGGAAGATCTGAAAAGTCCTCTGCAATTCGAGGAAAGCGTTTTGCGGCGAAACGATATCGTCGATGATTCACCAAAAGATCTCGAGGACAGATTGCGGAACGCGGGTGGTCCAGACGATATTAGCGACGAGGATCTGCCGGCATACATAGGCAGTTTGCTTGTCACCGTCGAGAGAAAAATCGAAAGGGTCTCGCTCGACGATATGACGTTCCCCTGTCCGGCGTGCAGGAATATAGACACGGACGATCCGTTGCTGGGATGCAGATGCGCTGGCGACGACTGCGGCTGCGGCGAGGATAATTGCGATTGTTCTTCCTCCGTTTCGCGAAAGGAACAATCCGCGAAGAGCTTCGAAGTGGCGGGAATCAAGCATATCGACAGTGATGACGAAGAAGAAGTACGAATGGGATTCGGTAAGTAATTTATACATATATTTTTACTTTTATATATAACCATAAGAATTTTTTTTATTTGCATAAAGCAAAAGTATGTTTCTAATTAGTTTAGAGAGCGATTGTTGTGTCTTTAATAATGATTTTAAAGTATTTTTTGCTGATAATCTTTGATCAAGTTAAATTATTTGTGCTTAAAAAATATTGCTAGATTTATTAGCGATTAATTGACGAAAAATATAGTCTTGTTTACAAGCGTAGAAATCGCGAACGTTGAATTTCGCTTCCGGAACGTTTATCGAAGATATGCGATCTAGGAAAACTCGCAAGTTACTTCTGCCGAACTGGCATGCCAGCTGCTCTCACTCGATGAACGCTTTTATGTAGGCATGCGTGATTTACCGGCGACTAAACTCGCGCGGCGCACCGTACTTGAAATTCTGACTGAAGTGTAGCGTAGGCGGCATATCTTGTAAAGTGGCTACTTCTTGTCATGTCGGTTGTTAAAAAATACGAACGCTACTCGTGCGTCGAACCGATGCTTGTACTTCGTCCACGCTCGCGTGAAAGAGTTTCATTGGGGAGATTCCAGTGAGTGTGAATAGAATCGCTGTACTTGCGTGACGTTATTCCGGTGTGCACGTGCTCGCACGAATGCGTGTCTTACATCCCGAAGCTGCGACGAAGTTTACGATGGAAATATTTTCTGCTAAACAAAGTACTGAAAATCCGTGACGTGTATTTAGCAGAGGTTTCCGCATCAACTCGCAACTTATTTCGTAATAATCCTTTCATAATTTAACGCACGGACATAATTAAGATTCAAAGAAAAATATTATGTAAAAAACTTAATCTGAAAAGAATTTAAGTTATTGTTCGACAAGTTATTATACATTAGCGATTTAATGGATAGACACATTCAGGAAACTATATTTATTTTTAAATGTACTAAGAAAAATGTCTGATTGAAAATAGATGAACTAGAAAATTTTGATATCTATCAACATTTTGATTATTTCAATTAAGAGTTTCTAGTAGATTTAATCAGAAAATGTTAATTCGTTCATTTTCAATTAAAATTCTAATTAATCTAACGTTTCTCTCATTGTTGATTTATGCTTTTATGCAATCAATTGTCTCTATTATTGTTTGAATCTTTATTATATAATATATTTATTCAAATTACATTTAATTTTCGACTCTTTCGACTCTTAATGATTATTTTTCATTTTCAAATGTTTATTATTTCTAAAGTTACGTTGAATAATTAAGAATAAATGCATTTTCTCGCTTGAGTTGAATCCTAAATATTTTTCTTACACGGTTCTTGAGGTTGCAAACTTTTACGTCACATGTCACAATCCCGGTTTAATCCGTCTCCCTGAGGGCATCGTTAACGAGCGATGACTCTCACGCCGACGACGCAAGCATAATTGTAACGGACGAGTATGCAAATTGTCGGCGCATTCGCTTGTCACTCGATCTTTCGTCATGGACCTGGCCAAACGAATCACTCGCGAATACGGGCCCGACTGGGTCGGACAGTACTTTAAAGTCTCGCGGCTGTTCTCAACCGCCGATCTCCTTTCGCATCCTCCCACGCTTGTCTCGGATCGCCTCTTTGGTAACCGCCGCCGACAAGTTTGCAAAGTCAAGACCCTTTATCCGAAACGACGCCACGTCCGCAGTTTTGACATAAAAATGAGCTTACGGCATTCGCTGTTTCGTAGCGCGACTTTTTACGTACCACATAATTTGTACCATTCCATGGGCAAACTTTTCTTTTTAAGCTCTTTTACTCTCGGTTACCGCTTTCTTTATTTGTCGTATGATAACACGTTTTGGAGTTGCTGAAATCTATCGCCTCAATCTATAGACATGTTTAGAGAATTACTTATGATTTAAGTATAATTTAGTACAATGTGGATCTGTTTGACGGGTGTAAATATTATGAATAAAAGAATTCAATATAATAATTGAGATATGAAAAATTGTGTACAAAGTGAAAATCAATCTTCATTTTAATTAGTAAAAACGTAAAAAATTTCGATTCTTCTTTGAACAGATATTGCTTTGAAAATAACAGATGTAATAAAGTTTATTAGATTGAGTTGGTAAATTTTTTTACAGCATTATAAATGTTGTGTAACTTAAAAGATAAAAAGAAAATTAATTGAAAAATGGTTCTATAAAAGATAATCTTATATATCATAACGAAAATAATTTTTCTTATAAATTGTCATAAGGCTGATTAAAAAATAACATTGAGTTAAATACTTGGAATAATAAATGATTTCTTCCGGAGAAAAAACGGAGAATATAATGTTACGATACCGCATTAACTCCAATCGCTGTTGTATATAGTTTATCCAAAACATACGAACGTTGTACAAGTATAATTATTGAAACAATAATCTTTTGATTCATGTCTCCTTAAGTCCAGGATTGGTAACGTAAAATACCATGAATTATTGCGAATTATTATAACCGATTTGCGCTCGTCTATTGCAACCCTGGTATACGTGCTCAAACATGTTTCTTGACTTTCCTTGCAACCGGCAGTGTTTGCGATGCGAGAGGCGAGCGACCTGCCTCGACAGTGAATGAACGGAGTAATGAACTTGTCAATGAGTATTCGTGCTAATAAGATACGACAGTGAACCGGCAACGTTTCTGAAACGTTAACGGCAAACCGAAAAATGGAATAAAAAAAATTACAAAGTGTGAAAATGCATTTACGAATGTTTGTTTGCATGCACGGATCAATAAATTTTTTGTGAATTTAATTGTTTAAATTTTGTTCGAAATTGGATTTTGTGAAAAAGAATATTACGTTGAATCTTAGATAAATCTGCTGCTTATTCGTGTTTTAATATAAAAGCGATTACAATCTGAATCAATATAATGAATTATAATAAATACAATATTATAAAAATTCTGCGACAAAGAATTTACATTTTTCTAGCCAATGCTTGAATAGATGTATAATAAAATATATTAATAATGAACTATATAGTAAATAATTCAATAATTGTAATAAATTATTTTTAATAAATTATTTTTATTTTGTATTCAGTATCATCAATTTGAATACTTATTCTTTCGATTTAACTATATTTTCTCGGCACTCGATTGTCGAGAAATTTGATAATAAAGAAGAGAAAGTAATATTTCATCAGATATATAGGTTTCTCGAAGTATGTAAATAAAAATAATCGATGAGTCGTCGTCTAGTCATTCATATATGATAATATGTGGATGACTAGACGACGACCCTATCTCTATTTTGGTGTATTTGGCAATCAAGTGCGAAGAATCGGTCGTCACTCTTT